ATTCTTAACGATGCAACTGGCAACAACAAGGCAAAATCTACGACGCAAATTGGAAATGTCTTAACTTCTACCAGTACTGTATCTTTCTTGTTTCTGGAAATATCACTCGACCCTCAAGCCACCTGATTGGAAGGTCTGCGTGGTAAAACAGGCTCAAGCGAAGCGACTGGAGGGATAGAATCCTAGGCCGAAGAGTGGATTTATCTCTTTTCAATAGATCTCGCTACAGTCACAACGTTCTTGCCGGATTCCGTAGGTAATTTAAGTGGGAATTGCGCAAAATGACCAGTTACGACTCTGACGGTTGCAAAGATCATAGTTTTTGGCGAATTGCTCGCACGTAGGCATATCTACTCATTGCTTGCTTGACAGTATGTTGTTTTTGCATTTTTTATTAGTGTATTAGTTTTGAATTTTTTCGTTATTTGAATAAAAAGCGCACAGGAAGAAGACGTCGAGAGAGAATGTGGCGTGGGAAAAGGAGATGATAGAAGTGAAGAAATAATATAATTGAAAGAAGGACACGTGAATGGAGTGCTAACGTAAAGAACTTCCAGGAAAGTCGCGCAGAAGGATAGAAACAGGCATGGAAAAACGCAGAGAAAGAAAAAAAACGTAATAAAAGCGTAAAGTGGTTCTGTAAAGTAAATGCGTGGGAGAAAGTACACGTGAACGAAAAAGCATTGAAGAGAGAAGGAGCGAAGAAGAGACAGAGAAGAAAACGCACAAGGAAAAAAAGGACGAATGATACAGGTGTGAAAAAGGCGTAATGGAATTATGGAACTGTGAAAGAGGCTTGCAGAGGATATATGGGAATGCCTCATTCGTCAAGAAGGTCAAAGAAAGCGCGATATAGTGTTTGAACAGACATGAGAGAAAAAGGCGTGGAGGAAGGCGAATTAAAAGGAACTACTTCGATATGCAGGAATCACAAAGGAAGGTGTGGGAAAAGAGATGAGATGAAGAAAATGTACCTAGATGATAAAGAATAGAGAAAAGAATGGAGGAAGCTTAATAGAGGCGTGAAAGATAGACATGTAAAGACAAATACAAAGGAAAAAGGTGCGACAAAGCCAAAAAGACGAGGGTGGGTGGGAGGCTGTGTGAAGTGAACACATGAAAACTTAAAGGAGGTATTTTGAAGGCTTGCAAGGAGTGTAAAAGAAACATTTAGAATTTAGAAGATGATGTACACGTTTAAATGCGGATGTTAGGAGAGGAATGCTCTGTAAAGATTCTCAAAAACTTTGGAAATTGCCTGGAAGGACCACAGTACCTTTTATTGCTTTGGAAAATCTTTGATTGTTCGGGTGAGCTTTATCATTCGCTTGAATGCACTTGTAATAACTCAGGGGCAGCTCAAAAAAAAACAAAATTCCTGCCAAAAGTAACTGAAATCGCCTGCCCTATCATTACTACGAGAGTAGCTCTAGGGTCTTTCTTACTTCTTTTCAATTTGCATTTTACAATTTTACGTTATAATAGTTTTCAACTTGTACGACAACATCGGAGATTTTATTTCCATCATAATCATCACTAGTTAAAATATTGTGCCATCACCTGCCACGGAAGTGAATGTATTTGTTAAGGCTGTTATGTAACAGAGCCCGACATTTACACCAGCACGAATAATATGCATATTGTGATCTACGGTTTTGTATTTAAAGCTCAGGTGCTAGTCATTTTGACCATGACCTGTCTCATTGTAATAATACACAGGGGTATGTTTCAAAATTTGGCTTTGCGCATGCGCAGTGCCAACTTTTTTATTTATGGAACAATTTAAATGAAATGTGATACATAGGCACTTGGAATAAAGGATCATGGAGCGCCAGTCTCAAAATTTTCTTTTGCGCATGCGCAGTGCCAACTTTTTTATCTATGGCACCATTTAAGTGAAATTTGATACTTAGGCGCTTGGAACAAAGGAAAATCTAAAAATGTTTTTAAATTTAGGTTTGCGCATGCGCAGTTCCAACTTTCTTATTTAGAAAAGCATTGAAATGAAATTCTTCTCATAAACTGAAATTGAAGTAACACGTCAAAAATGGATTGCCCATGAGCAACGCTATCTTTCATATTTGTGGCCGGATTTTTACGATTTTATCAGAAGTTGCATCTTATAAATGGGAAATGAATGCAAGTGGAAATGCGCTTTATGTAAATCGTTTACGATTACTTTTTAACTTGTTAATTTGTACTTGCGTTCCTACTTCTGTGACTTTAGGCGTTTCGCCTTGTAATTATATGTTAAATGTCACTATAAAATTTATCCAGCTCAAAAAACAAACGTTCTGAATGCCCTCTCCCGCCCCCATCTTAAAATTTTTTGAAAACTGTTTTCTTTTAAAAAAAATAAAATTTTCTGTCGAAAGATTGGCAATAGTGGTATCTTTAAATTCACCACCCTGTTTCTTTTAACGTCAATTGTTTTTAATTCTTTTTGCTTGCAGCACGAATAATATGCATATTGTGATCTACGGTTTTGTATTTAATTAGAGCTCAGGTGCTAGTCATTATGACCATGACCTGTCTCATTGTAATAATACACAGGGGTATGTTTCGGGTTGGTGTTCATGGTTTGAGCTTAGGCACCTATCCTGGGCTAGGACATTCCCTGTCTCGTAATAACATAGGTCATGAAAAATATGTAAATTTGAATATTTTAATTCGCGCCAATTAAATGGCATAACCGATGAGTTTTTCGCATTTAACGGAGTGCGTACAGTTTCTAGCGGGAATTGTTCAATTCAAAACTTTCAGATCTGTAACATCACGCACTTGCGTTAGGATCTCTTAAGCGCTTTGTCTGTAAAAGTCATTAGGCCATGACGAGTTCTCTGAAAAAGACATTAAAAGCTATATAAGTGGGTTAGACGGTTCTGTAAAGCGCTAAGAACCATTTGGAAATTTCCTGACATGTAATTTTCAGTTTCTCACATCGCTTAGAAGGTTGCTCCATAGTCCATGGTCGTCTAGCACTCTCTAGAAAGGTTTCTCCGCTGCCTTCTAGCACCTTCGAACATAGTCTTCTAGGCCCTTTCTTTCCAGATAAGCGAGGTTAGGTATAGAATCTTTAGTTCCAGAAATGACATGGTTTAAAAGGGTATTGTAGGTTATTTTGACGGTTCTAACAGGGGTGCAACTGTAAATTGCAAATTGTAAGGCAATATCGTGGCCAATGCAATGTAAGGAGACTGCAAGTTTGCTCTTAGTCTGATTAATAATAATAATAATAATAATAATATTGCCTTTATTGTACCAAAAAAAAGAAAACAAAGATTTATTGCAGTACATTAAGGGCGAAGTTCAGCACTGCGGCAATGCCACAGTCTGCTCTTCCACTTAACCCCGTTACTACATGTATTACTAGACGAGAAAAAAAAAAGTATTCAACTAAACAAAAAAAAAACAAAAATAAAGAAGAGGTACTTACTTTAAAATCATTAGCTCTTACTACGCCAACAAATCATTATTTTGCATTATTTACCCATTGATTGCTAGGCCACCTTTCACTTTACACTTTCGTTAGTCGGGTGGTATGGTGTTTTCTTACGAAAATCACAATAGCGCGCATTTAATTGGAAATGGCCTTCAGAGATTCTTTATGAGGGGACTGGACTTTGGAAAGATCTATTATAAAGCTCTGAAAAAGATATTGACAGCTGTGGAAGAGACAGGAATGTTCTTTAACTGAGTTAGAAATCACTGGTAAGGAACTAGAACCGTCTGGAAATCAGCCAGAGGGCGCTAAATTCCCTAAAAGCAATGTTTGGACTCTGTACAGCGCTTCTTCCACAATGCTCTGTTGCATTCCACAATTTCTTAAGTGCTTTTCAGGTTCTTCTAGCGGTTCGACAGTCTCCTAGGCTCTTTCCAGTACGTTATTAGTTCTTTTCCGATAAGCGAGGTTCAAATGGAACATATAAATCTCCAGACCAACTCAGATAGGATACCTAAATAGTTCTGGTTTCTTGAAAATGCGATATAAAGCCGTGGGGCCTATGAGGCTTCGAAAATCCTTACATTACTCTCGATAGCACCGGAGGGCTCTGTGCGGTTTCAATTTTTTCTAGACCTAGACTCTTCTAACAACGAGAAAGAGCCTACACTGCTCCTAAGACTTCGAAATGGGCCTACAGAAGTCGGTTGCCACTATTCTGTTTTCGGGGTACTCAGTTACTTGAATTTATTATTTTCAGAGCCTTATGACGCATTTTGGGTGACAACATTTTCGTTACATTCCCATAATATTCATTATCAAAATATCCCCGATATTTTAACCGACTTCGGTAACGATTTAACGTGTGCGACAATGGTCTAGAGTGGTTAGGATATCCGGCTTGCACCCGGGCGGTCTAGGTTCAATTCTGTCGCAGGAAATTTTTTTTTACAAAAATGCGTACCCATGGTGGATTTGAGCATTATGTTATTTGTAGCTTTAAGATTGTGTTCTTAAAATTTGTTTAAAGCAGACTTACACAAAACAACAAAAGCTACACAAAATGCGCATGCTTACTAAGAAGCAGTTACTCTCTGTAAGCGCTCGAATTTTTTAATATGTAATACGGACGTTCATACAACGCAAAATAAAAGTCAGGACAAACGGACAGACGCCGCAAACTTATGAACTCGCTACAAACTCGTTAATAAAGTTACGCACTCTTGAAGAGCGCGATTTATGTATAAACCGTTTTGCGAAAATTCGCATTGCGAATACATACCTCAAAATATGGGTCTAAGTACTGAGGAGAATACCTTTCTAGTACCTAAGTTACCTAAGTATAGTAAAGGTGAATTAGATTCACGACTGCGGACTGCGATTCCGGAATCATCTAACCAAGTATAGCCAGATCTGATCGTGAAGGCTCAGCACGAGCGACGTTATGCCACTGGCTAATATGCCGCAGCAATATTTTATTAGTTTGATGAAACAATCCCAAACAACCCTGAATAATAATGAAAGAAGAAATATTAATTAATAATCTTGTTTGTTTCAGAATACGTGCGCTGTTTTTGCAATCTCCCGTCGTGCGTTGGAACGGCTTACATGTGCAAGTCCAGTGGGGGCGGTTGTTTTTCCGAACTTCTAGATCAAAGCAATCCGACCGCAGCTTTACCAGGTGGCGATTATAAGGGATTACACGGATGCGTGGAGCTTCTTAGCGACAGGTAATTTCATCTCTTATTCGGAAGTTGCAATTGCAATTGAAAAACTATGTATGAAGGTTGACAAAATGTCGACCTGAAGCAGTTAACAGGTTCTGAGATTTCTTCATCTTGTTACTCGTACATTGCTATCAATTAGAATATGATTTTTTAATTCTTTACGAGCCTACGAAAGGAAAAAGAATTTGAATGATGCGGTGAAGAGAAAGCAACGGTTATATTTAGCTAAGGTCATGCTGCATGCATACCTACATTCTTATTTACAACGTGTTTTAAGACCAAGTCACGAATTTTCCGTTAGCGCCGCCGCCGTGTTGTTTCTATTTAACTTGGGGGTTTCTTTGGGTACGCACGGCACAGTACATTCACCAAACGTATCTAAATCTTCCAACGTTGATATCAAAATGGCTGATAGCGGGGTTTCTTAATTGAGGCCATCTTTCCTTATGGCGACCGCGCATCTCACAGTTAACATTCTTTCAAGTCGTCCCCAATATTTAAATGAAATTAATCAGAGGTTCAAAGTGTTGTGACAGTATCAGAAATTCTTCCGCTATCCTTTTGGACTGCACATGTTGCCCCATAACCTCATACATTTTAATATTTTTTAACTTGTCATCACACCATCAAACTATCTGGGCCAAACGGCGGAATGCGGCTATAAATTCTTTTTTGGAAAACTGGTAATTTGTTTATCTTTATTTAGATCAATCTTCCAATAAATGTTACATCGCAGTTTTTTTCTGATTAAGATAATACATTACATACTTACGGCGATTTTTTAGCCTAAAATGCTTAGTCCGTCTTCCATCCAGAGTTCCTTGAAAACAAAACATGACCATAAATCATTTCGAACTTATACTCGTAAACTCTACATATTAAACACATCCAGTATGGAATTATTATTATTGTTAATTACTAGCAGTCGAGTACCGTTTTTTCCCGTACCTCGTTCCCGTGGGAACTTCGGGAAGTCTCTTTCGGAGTACACCTTATCACCGTCAAACCTAATGATAATAATAATAATAATAATAATATTTAATTGTGAGAAGGTGTGAATTACACTTACACTCGTCAAAAGAAACGGGAAATTACATTAAACATTAAAAATAATAATATATAACAAACAATATAACAAACAAACTAAAAACAGACAGGTAAAAACAGTAAAATCGCAAGAAAAACGCTAACTAATTACATAATCTACCACTAGCCACAAACTCGTTAAAAGAATAAAATGCGCTACATAGTAGAAAAAATTTTTTATGCGTCTCTTAAATATGGGGTAGTCTAAAGGGAAGGCAGTTGTATAAATGTTTGGATTGGTACTGTATTCCTTCTTGTGATTTTGACAGTCTGCATAGATCAGTACGGATATATTTTTTTTTCTTGTGTGATGACTTGATGAGTATGTACGTCAACTTGTGTGTAAAGAGATATATTTCGTTTAGCATAGCATAGGGCTTCAAGAATATAAATACAAGGAAGTGTTAAGATTCTGAGATCGATAAATGCTTGACGACAATCGTCCCTATAACCTAAAGATGCCAGAACCCGAACAACTCTACGTTGTAGTTTGAACAAGAATTGCCAATGAGAACTATGTCCCCAAGACAGGATGGCGTATGAGAGGGAACGATGCACAAAACCAAAATATGCTGCTTTAATGGTATTTAAAGATGTGCAGTTGCGCAACCGAGTAAGTAAAAATATCGACGTTTTCAATTTTTTGGACAAATGATCGCAGTGATATTTAAAGTCTAATTTGCTACCTAGAAATGTGAAATGAGCACCATTAGAGACGATTAGGGATTTTCTGAAAGATAAAGGCAAGATAGTAGTCTTAGCAGGATTTAGTTTCAAAGTATTATCAGTGCACCATCTAGAAATAAGTTTGATGCCGTCTTGAATGTTGGCATAAGCCGAATCATAACACATACTACTCGATATTAGTGTAGCGTCATCTGCGTACAAAATACATTGCGTCTGCGGCGGCAAATGGGATGGTAGATCATTAACATAAATTAAAAACAGCAAGGGTCCAAGGATAGAACCTTGCGATACGCCGTATTTGATGTGTAATTTGTTAGATACTGCGTTGTTAAAGAGGACCTATTAGACAAAAATGAAGACACTAATGACAAACTCCGTTTACAAAGTGATACACCTCAGTAAGCTTGCGGACTAAAGTATCGTGGCATACACAATCAAAAGCCTTAGTGAGATCAACAAAAGCAGCTATCATGTGTTGCTTATTTTCGAGTAAAGCCTTCGCGGTGAAAGAAATAATTGCGTCAGAAGTACATCTACCTTTCCTGAAACCGTATTTATACTGATAGAGCAGCTTATTAGATTCAAAAAAGTCAACTACTTGTTTATACAGAAGTTTCTCTATGACCTTGCTGAAAACAGGCAAAATAGAGATTGGCCTGTAACTGCTAATCTCGGATTCAATTTTTTATGCGAATTTATTATTGACCACATAGATTTGCTGGAATTCCCAGAGTTTCTAATAAAATTATCGTTGACTTTTATTTTGGCAAGTCGAATCTCTTTTTTGTAATGTAAAGAGAGCGATTTCTTTAAATGATATAAATTTGGTGTTTTATATATACAATGTAGTTCACTGATCAGTTGTAAATTCGATCGGAGTTTAGTAATTTGTCATCAGTAAACCAATTGACTTTGTTCGTGGTCCCCTTTTTTGTAATCTTTACAACAGGGAAACAAGTATAGTAGAAGTTACAAATCATATTCACAAAATCAGTCCATGTTGTGTTAGTCGCCTGCGTTAGAGTTTATAATTGTTTTCCAATTACACATTTGTAATTGGTACATACCTACGTTCTAAATTCAAGTCTCTTTTCAACTGTGAAACATAAAATTCTGTTTTTTCCTGTTCCCGTTCCCGTGGGAATTTCGGAAAGTGTTTTACTACATCAGAAACCTTCGCGGTCATACGTAATTTTTACGTTTGAGCGTCTATTTTTTCTCATCTCGCCTGATGTGGACGGTATGAATTCTTCTAGAGCTTTCGCACCATCTATGAGTTATATTGAGATTTAAAATGTGTTTCCGTACAATTTTGTAGACATCTTTTTACAAACTTTGTTCTGATGGTAACAAACACAACAAAAAAAGAATTATCTAATTTGGTGTTATGCGCGTATATACACGAGTATATATTTCCTCGATTCGTTCTTATTTATATAGATTTAAGATTTAAATAAAAAACACCAAGATAAATGAATAGCTCTACAAAAGTAGTTACTAGCGTTGGGCAAAAAAATCGATTAATCGATTATAATCAAACGATAATCGATAATCGGGTTTGATTATTCTATTAAATTAATCGATTAATCGATTATTTGAATAATAGGTTATTTGATTAATCGATTATTTGATTAATCGATTGTTTGATTAATCGATTATTTGATTCATCGGTTATTTGATTAATCGATTGTTTGATTAATCAATTATTAAGTAAATTTTAATTGATTATTATTAGCTGGATCATCAGTTTACGCAAAAAGGAGCACTCACAGCTCACAAGTATTATTTTATTTTATAGCGGATGTTAAAACGTCACTTTAAGCAGCTAAAATGAATTAAGATTGTATCATCAAAACTAAAGCACACCTCATCGGAGAGTAAGCTGCCTAATCATTTATTTTTATTTATTTATTTTTATTTTTGACCTTCGTTTTCAAATGGGCAGGGTTTCAGCCAAGGCTGTTCTACCAACCAACCCACTATGCATTTGCAAATATCCATGCCCGAACCCGGATTCGAACCAGGGACACTTTTTTGATTATTGATTAATCGATCTGCCTAGTAATGAACGATTTGATGAAAAGAGTAATGGAATTATTTTTTATTTTTATTATTAAATAATTAACGTATTAATGCATACAAACAGATATTTATCACTCCTTGTATGTGATAATCGACTTTTGATTAAACGATTAGGTGATTAATCGATTATTTGATTAAACGATTATTTGATTAATCGATTATTTGATTAATCGATTAATCAGTGTAATCGATTATTTTCCATAATCGATTATCGATTATTCAAACCCGTAATCGCCCAGCCCTAGTAGTTACCACGTTTTTTGTATAATCTCAATTTTCAATTTTATGTTCCACTTGCCGCTATGGGGTACACGACTTCTCGGCGCATCAAGTTTTCACACGCATTTAAAAAGTCAAGACCGTCCCTTAGGAACTCGAATCGAAAAAAAATTGAAAATTCGAATCAAATAAAATCCGTTAACGGGCTCTCGTTACAGCCTCAAACTAAATTACCCAAAAAGTCGCCAGACAAGAAGATCACACCATTTAGTTCAGGGAAATTTGTGTACTCTACGATGTGAATAATTACAAATTATGTTCAAAGTTGCGTATGGCCCTGGAGGAGACATATATCATCCAATGAGACACTGAAGTGCATACATAAACAAAGTAGGCACGTCCTCAGGCCTTAATCTCAAACAGTAAAACTTTTCCTCAATTTATCACACTTCTGGTATCAATATTGGTTGCTGTATATTACTTGCGCTACTCGGGAGATGAGGCCAAAACATTTTAGTGCGTTGGAGTATTCTTATTCAGTTGGAATGCAAAAAATTAGTGTGTGATCGAGTATATTGGCGGAAAAACAAGAATCGCAGAAATTTAACGGTGGGATTATGACAATTAAAGAAAGCTTCTTTTACGGCCTTTTAAACATCTCAATTTGTATGACAACGGATACAATTTACCTAAAAAGTTGCCCAAAAGTGAAGGGGAAGCGAATTTTGATCCGTGCGATGAACTTAAAAGGCGGCATTTGATACTACACTTCAACGAGTAATTAACATAGAAGGAATTCATAATGCCTTCATTTTTAGAAGGCATTCTCTGCGGTTATTTTTAAAAAGATATCAGTCTCCTTAAACAATGACAGTCACTACGACATTAAAGTCATTTTAGTTGTCGGCGTCCTTTAAACGCGCGTCGTGTTTAAAATTTATGGTTATGTAACTTCATTCTTTCGCTGTAACCTCGCTTCTTGTTTCCGATATGCGTTTGAGTTTCGTTATTAAAATTAGAAACAAAATTTAATTACTCCGCTCGATTAAATAAAGTGACCCAGAAATAGAAACTGGGGTAAAGTCGTTTTTTGTCAAATCAATTTAGTACTTTGCGGCAATTATTAAAACCGCAAGTGGAGGCGCCACTCTTGTCGGAGAATTCGCTTCCCGTGCTATCATTAATTCCATGGAGTTTGAATAACAGTTATTCCATATTCACATTAAATTGCACACGCTCACTCGACCATGTATAACTGTTTCGGATTAAAATTAGCTACTAATGAAAAAGGGAAACATTTTGATATAAAATATTTTGTCCATCTCGGTGTATTTTCTAGAGTACTTTTACAAGAATTTTTTCTTGGTGTAACGGGTTCTGCAGCAGGTGAACGTTAAAACTTGTTATGCGGAAGTGTAACTTTCTTCATTTTGTAAATGATTGGAATTACTTGTTATGCAATGACATGAACTTCTAATTTTCAGAGCGTCTGGAGAATGAAGTTGTTGCACCACAAATAACTTCATGAATCATTAATTACACTTAATCGAAAGTCCAAAGTTGATGAAATCGGTTTAGTTTTTGTGTAGTCTATATTTTTTTTCTATGAAGGTTAATTGTTTATTTAATCCGCTCTTTGTTAACGAAGTGAATATTGTACGATTAGTAATAAAATTCCAATTAAAGTTATTAATTTAATCATTCCATAGGTCAACTAAGGGTTTATTTACGATTTCACAATTGCTTTGTTTGTGATTGACTGCGTTTTATTTGATATCAGAATCGGACAGAGTTGAATACGTGCGACGGAGCAAGTAGTTTTTTGAAGTGTTGCTTATCGCTCGCTAGACACTACGTGTTTTGCACGGGAGTAAAATCATCTCATCCGTAACGCTCGGGTAATGTCGTGCGAGCAAAGAGCATTTGAATGAAAATATCGCATTAAAATCTAAATTGTTGAAGAATCCAAGGGCCATTAATTTAGTCCTTGGCGTACATTAAACATAACATTTTTCCTTTATCGCAATCGAAATCACATCGGACGCGTTCATCAGACGAAGCGCTTCATGAACGATACTTAAAGGCGGGAATACTCTTAACAAGGTTTCTCGCGCGAGTTGCTGACTGATAGCACTGTCGAGGTGTAAAGACCAACGTACGCCCGACTTACTCTGTGGTGTATACACTTCAACAGTGCTATCAGCAAGCAACTAGCGCGAGAAAACTTGCTAGAGTATTCCCGCCTTTAGGTAGCGCTCGTCTGGTGAACGCGCCCAATGACAATGGAAAATATCTTACTTATTTCCACAAAGCAACCACTGGATGAATGTGGCCCAATTTATATGATCGCTATGAAAATAAAAAAATTTCGTTTTAAACTACAGGTCGCAACTTTGTTGAGTCCAAAAAGGACACGTTCTGCCAATTTGTAACAGACAACAAAACAAACAAACAATAAAAGGGGTAGTGAATAGCGCGACACAAAATATTGCGTAAGCAATTCTAACGTTTGAGATTGAGACAATCGGATGTTACTAAGGAATAGGTTTGTATTTCTCACAACTTTGTAACAACTTCAGTTACAACTTCGGTACAGAAAAAATATATAAATAACGAACTGCATGTAAGTAGCGAACTGTATGTTTCAATCAATCAAATAGGATGAAACGCCCGAATAAAAATAGCGTAAAGAAATGTCCGCTTTCTAACCGTTGCGAACCAGCTACCTTGCAGCCTCCTGCTTGCAGTATTTAACGAAACACCACTTAATTAATAAAATCAATCTCCTTCTTCCTGTTTTTACAAAAAAAAAGAAACCAATCATAATAGTCTCCACTTACTCCGAATTAATGCGCACATTGTTGAACACCCCCATCTCCCGTTATCTCTTCTAACAGCGATAAAAAACACGCGCGTTATTAAATGTGCTTAGATTTTAACACGTAATTTCACTTTTTACAATTAAATAAACAAATTAAAATAATATGCAATTACAAACAATTCTAAAAGGAAAAATAACATTACAGAAATACAAATTCAACTGAAATAAACAAATTCTATGCTTATTCGAAAATCTCTTAGTTAGATTCAAATAATGCCTACAAACAAGAAGTTACACTATCCCCTACTTAAAGTTGTTTCATTGTCCCGAAAAAAATCTAGTTATTCCAATTTTCGGATATTTCGGTTCCTATGTTTGCATCGTAAAAAGGAAATACTAGCTATTATTAGGCATGATCGTAATGTACTTGTAAAAGAAAACAAATTAATAGCAATCCTTTTGTTCCAGAAATCAAAGGAAATGGTGTGAAAATAGTGATGGCAGCTCATCGAAGACAAACTACAGAAAAAGAAATCAATCGAAATCTCTCTTACTATGCTGTTACCATGATATGTGCAACCACGCTGATAGTCCAGAAACCAAAATTCTTCTTAATGATACGGTCTTAAGTAAGTACTTTGATATTGTTCTGATGTTGTGTACTAACTTGGTACCTATTCTCTAGGTGCCTCGACGAACGAAAGTGACAATCGGTCAGTTGACACTATCGGAATCAAACAAGACACGGCCTTATATACTGATTCTGAAGTATGGTTTAGAGCAGCAACGATCGCCGTTCCTATTTGCGGCGTTGTCATCTTATTAGTGCTTATAATACTTGCGGTAAAGCTTTTACGTACCGAATCGCCGAATAACCCCACGTCCAATACCAAATTAGGGTTAGTATAACAATCTGGGATTTTACAAAAAATTGATTGAGAAACTTTATAGGTTATCGCCGTATTCGTACAACTTATCGCCCGACATTAAAAACAAAAACGACGGAACGTTTCGTCATCACAACGTCATCGACGCAGATTTCTTCTCAAAGGACTCCCATCACAATCCGGTATACCTGAACGAGCTCGAGGACGTACGTGTGCAGGGTTACATTCCCTTACTCATTCAAGATGAGATACGAAACGTTGAGAAGAATTGTGATAGAAAGAACGAGACAAACGCAAAGTTAAATCTGATGCAGGAATTGGAGCAGTGTTCCGTCGCCGGATGTGACAGTTCAAATGTGGTGTCGGGACATTTGTTTCACAAAAGTACCGACCTCCATTTTGGTAGAAATATGATTCTAAATGGGAGCTTGGAAAGTAGCCAGGATACGAGTAGTGAGAAGACATATTGTAAAGAGTCCATATCTTAGAAACCTAATCGAAATTATAGATACTATAAGGCTGTGAGTAAATAAAAAGTTTGTAATATTTTTGAGACGACCGTTTTTAGAGAAAGTCGAGTTATTATAAGACTTATTGTAACTTTCCTGGTTACTTTTGTGATATAAATTAAGTATTTAATTGTTTGGTGTTATATCTTAAATTTGATAATTGTATATATCTAGTATGTTAAGTGTCGGTAATAAAAATATAATTTTATGATATGAGATATTTTACTCTTGATGAAGAAAGGATTTTCTCCAATTTCATCTCCTGTTTATAAAGCGGTGGCTGTAAAACAGAAGTAAAAAAGTAATCTGGTTAGACCGAGACCTTACACTACCATTTGTTGTTTTTTTCTAGTGAAACCCTCTTTTATAGACGCCAGCACCTTTGGCTGTTATGGTGCATGGTAGGGTGGGACGCTCCTTTCCAAGAAGGCATATCCACCAAAATCACAAATGGGCCTCTGTGTTTACTACACTGACAAGAAATGTTTTGAATTTGCCTCTGTCAGTGCTGGCCCTGTATATGGTAGCTCATTCTTCCTTCCTCTCGTCTTTGTCTTTAGTGGTCAGTATTTTTGTAGTAATGTTTTCAAGAATTTTCCACTATTTTTTACTTCTGAGCGACCATATTATTAAGGTCTCTAGTAGCAAGCGAGACACATAAACTGTAGCAACAGGAGTAATACTGTTTGGAAATGTAATAAATATACTGGAGAATTATATTTGCCATCTACTGATCCACACTTTAATAACAAGGGTTATACAGTAAAGTATTGAATTGGGGCAAAGTAGAATTTTATCCATCCGATCTTGTTTGCGACCTTTGTTTCAATACAGATGATGAAATCCGTATCGTCCATGGCCCTTTAGTAGACCCTGCCCATCTCTTTTGTCTGTCTGTCTGTTCTGTCGCGCATCGCCTTCTTCTTTTCGTCCTGACCGTCTGGCGTAATTTTCTTTTTTGCTCATTAAGACCTAAAGCATTTGCCTTTTTTTTAGCAGGTTGCGCTTTAGATTATTTGCTAACTTTTTGGAATTTGCCACTTCGGCTATCCATCAGTAAGAATATGGTTTCGTTCGTTTTTCCTTTGGGATTTCTTGGTCGTTATTTGTATCTCGACGAGTACCCCCTAAATATTCTTGGGGTTGTCGGTTTTCGTGTTCTACTACCATTTGGGTGTTTGCCAGCTTTTCTGGGGTTATTCCGATGTTGGCTTGGCATGGCTTTCTATTCTATTGACACTCGTTAAGGCGATTCAGCTTCAACTAACACGTACGTAATCTTTTGTTTTATAGCTACTATATATGTATACAAAACAGCTGATTAGCAGACTCGTCCGTAAGGTCATCTGCCATTTTGGAGCCCACTGTCAATTAATACTTGCAAAACGTTACATGCCCTGCATATCTTGTCTTATCATTTAAAGAAAAACTATTGATTTTTTCAACGTTTATTAATGCATACAGGTATTTAAGGTAGATTTAAACAGTTTTACCGTGCACAAACCTCCAAAATGGCAGACGAGTCTGCTACCTTAATCAAGTACTGTACTTTGTTCTATCCCCTATTGGCGCGATAAGGGGCCGTCATGGGACTTGGAAGACGTCCATTAATCGCGTGACGCTCGAAGGGAGTAGGGGGTTCGAAAAAATCACTGCACATTTTTACTACTTTGTACTAAAAAAATTCGCGTGATTTTGTGTAGAGGAGGGGGTTAGTTTTAAACCTCACCAGCGGGGAGGTGGAATTAAAAGTTACTAAAAAACATCACGTGATTAAGGGACGGCCCCTTACATAATTGTAGTATTAGCAACCAACCATACATTTATTGTAATGTCTGTATTCATAGACGTATGGATTGTACATGATACGATCACCGACTAAAGTAATGATAATCGGAGGCTTACTGCCACTTAGGCAACCAACCATACACTATCTAAAATGGCAACGTGGAAGTGTAACTTTTCCGGTGGATATTCGTGTGGGATGGGCCGCACGGCGTCACGCATTGTCGTCATTTCTTTGGCGTTTCTTCGTCACTGCCTTGTAGGTATAATTACAAAGTTGGTATAATTGAATTTTATCAATGGATAAAGAATACCAGGAAGGAGAACATCAACAATTTACACGATACCGCGATGGCTTTTGCAAATGGCGGTTGTAGAAGGATACAATTATAAAGAATTTTACACGAAAACAATCTAAACCCCCATGTATCTACTCCGCCTATGACTTTTGTTTAACGAACCGCAAACTACATTCCGATAATTTACATGTACTATATCAAAATAATATTGGTATCAATACTTGCACATGAAATATAATTCCCAAACTTTTATTTTTTTCCGTTTTGAAGCAACCACAAGCACAACAACTAACCATTATTTTATGTCACTGCAAAAGCCACAACAGAAATGCGTCATAAGTGGCTTTTGCAAATGGCCGACTTCCGTCCCACTCTCTCTTGTATACAACCTGAGTAATGCTCCTTCGTGGTATTCTTTATTCATTGGATTTTATGAATTACATATTGGACAGCGACCACGAATCGCCGAAGCAAACACGACATTGCGCGATGCCGTGCGGCCCATTCCACACGAATCCACGCCGGGAAACATACACTTCAACGTTGCCATAGCGTATGGCTTGTTGCCTAAGTGGCAGTAAGTGTTGTATGAATGTAAAGTAAGCAGTACGTAGTCGCCTACACAAAGAGACATGACCATTATATGCAACAAAATAGTGTAGTCTAAACGTCTAAACACGTTGGCGTCAGTCTCTGTCTTTGGCTGTCTCGCCGTCATAAACGACAAAGGCCGATCATTCGTGTATTGTTTATTTTTATTTTTTTATAAAATGGCGCGCAAATTCAGTGAAAAAGAAACTTTTAAGCTAATTGAACTATACAGAGAGCAGAAATGCATATGGAACATCCGATGCTTTCAGCCAAGAATTGGCTGGCCAGTATGGTATGAATATATCCGTGGGTAGTAGCATTGAATTTAAGTTATAAATTCAATGGTAGTAGCATTGTCATTGGCATTGTAATACAATGGTAGTAGACTGGCGTGTGGCGCCAGCTACTGGATACGTCCAAACGCACCTTTACGTAAAAGGAGGGTTTACACATGCATGGATTTAGTGGCGGCAGTAGAAACTGGCGCACCAGGAAAATAAAATTGCGTGTGTAAACCATAGACATGTAAACACCAACTTGCATGCAAGTTATATAATAATGCAAGCATGGACAAGAAAACTCTGCAGCTTTCTGAAATTTCGTGGCAGCACGGCACCAGTGGTACCAAAAAACAACACCAGTTATTTGCACGTGTAAACTCGAAATTGGCATCCGCATAGTTTCTGAAACTTGTAGGATCTTTCTGATGAGAGCTGTAGATGAAATCTTACAGATGCACCGAAAATAGTTCCGACAACTAATCCATTTCTCATTGTACCTATGTAAATCAAATACGAGTACGAGTATGTTTAACTTTTATGTTCATAAAAACTGTTTTTTTAAGGACTAGGTAAGTAGCAGTTGCTCGCTTTTGTTTTTTTTAAGGACTAGGTAAGTAGCAGTTGCTCTTTTGTTTTTTCAGTAATAGTAAAACAACTAGTAGAAAAAATAGAGACCAACCATTCATAATAGTATATTATGCAATAAGCATTTAATGATGGCTATTAAGACACGAGTATAAAGGCGAGTTTCGTAATGATCATCACTCATCAGTGTCTTAATAGCCATTACATGCGAGTTGCATACACTCTTTTTTGTACAACAGTGATGAGCAATAAAGAGGTGATTCCACGATTACTTCAAAAGCGGTCCTATTGTCTTGTGTTGCGACCTTTTTCTATGCTCGTTACAAATGATATCTCTATTTAGTCTTTCGAGATTGACATTTATTTTGTACCTACGCACGGAATCACGACGGACTTACTAATTTCCTCAGTAATTGTATCGCTAAACGGGATAGGTTGGTCTTGATACTATCAACTATCATTATTTGGCAGATTTTTGTGATTGTATTACGTGTATGGGGGTCCTTGGCGTTTGAAAACTTAATGTGCCGGTGAGTCGTGGGATATGGCGCGATTGTCTCAAGTGAACCTGAAAGATTTTGTTTGATTTGCTATCGTTGTTATCAGAGTCGCCGCGTTATGTGAGATTTGCAGAATAAACGAAAAATCACTCCAGGCGGAGTTGATTATAGCCGTCAGTGAACCAGATTCGATGGTCGAAGTTAGTTGATTGGAGGAAGCGTTAAGTTTCGTTGAAAAAGTGATCACTGTAATAAATTTGTATAATCTCAACCGCTAAATTTTACATATCTCAATTGAATATGCTATCATTGTGCCATCGAGTAACGAAGTAATAAAAAATGCGTTATTCAATGGTATAGTAAATACGAGTAGAGTATGTTGTGTTGCCTATGTACTATACAAGTAGGAATGTGCAATTAATTAGTCCCAATTTTACGTCCACATTAAATTTTTAATTAAACGGAAGATTAGCCGACGACATGCAAATGTTTCTTTTCAAGGTAAATAGATTTAATACACATTAAGAATTATTGACTACAATGACTACGCCACTGTTGAATCAATGCATTAGTTCCATATGAATTAAGGTTATGTTCGCATTACAATTTCAACCACGACCCACAGAAATTTAATTACATTTTCAACAATTTACCCCAATTGTAAAACTACTATGAAGTACACAAAACGACCTATTTTTACAAATACAAACTCGAAGGCATGCAGTGGATTTTTTAATGTTGGTGGTATTTGACTTTTGACAGTACTGCCAATAATATAACATATCCGCGAATTTTGAAAAAAATAAAATAAAATCCAATAAAAAAGTAAACAACATCTCAAAACACCGCCTAATTGGGACGAGGAGTCGCCGACTAGTTGAAATCTCTTACAAACAAATAATGCCCAATTATGACTCAGTTACCCATATAATTATTTATATAATTACACAATTATCATACAAATGTAGTCATAGGTACAATAAACCAAACCTCTTCCACATTGATAAAGTTTTCTTCTAAAAGAACACAAGCGGTCCTCGCCTCTCGCGCGGCGCAGTTGTGGTAAGCAAGATGGCGAGTTTGAAAGAGTTAAGTTTGTCGGTACGTACACTTTTATATTTATCACGTTACTTACGTAAATATTTTCATTTGTGAAGTATGTTTATTGTGCTAAAGATGAAAATAGATTATCACGTAGTGCATTACTGGGATGCTTCGCCGTATTTATATTAATATTTGATCTCTTACGTATTTAGGAGGCAGGGAGTCAATAGCGGCGGCTAATTTGAATTTAAGGTTATATTTATGCGACCTTGTGCTCCATGTACTGATAAATTTTCCGAGTTTATCCAACATTTTTTTGCGCAGTTAACGAAAGTTGTCCTCAAAACAAATTGATTGAGGGGGTGATGTAATTAATTGTGTCACCGATACACTCCCGAATATCTCGCTGTGAATGAGTGGATTATGAAAAAAATTATTGCGGCTTCCGGCGTTTGAACCGTGCACCTCAAATTAATTCAGTTGTGTACGAATTACGAATAAAAAGAATTAATTAAGGTGTGGTTAATTCCTTAGTGGGAGTTTTAATGTTTCGACGACTCTACGTCGAGATAAATATTGCCCTATAACAATTTGCAACGCATTTTATATTTTAAATAAATATCAGGTAAACTAATGTGAACAGAAATGCGCATTATCTCACGAAACGTGTTACAGTCGACCAAAAATCTTCTGGCGCTGATGCTAGGAAATTTTAGGCGAATAGCGTATTGAACGCCTATGCGAAAAACCTTGGTCAAGGTTAGATGTCAATAAATTGTTGCGTAAGAACTTAATTCGTAACTCTCGGTTTCGTTTTATTTTAATAAGTCTCTTCCCTGAATTTTATTTGGCTAAAATAAGGCGATGTTTCATGTATCTACGGGCGTTTCTCTTATCTCCCAATTTGAATTTACCTTTAATTAAGTAGTGTAGACTCGTTTTAACACCTCGTATAGATATTTTTATAAATCCCAGTCATTATTATACCTATTCCCAAATTTGTAATGATTGGAGTCATTGCAGGAGAAATAATCTTAATATAAATTATAATTTTTTAAATACATACAGTATTTGGGATGAAAGTAAGCCCCTTTTTAATATTTATCACTCGCAAATCTACCTGTCCATTTTATTTTTTAGTTCTGCCTTTTAGATGAAAAAAGAAGAAAAAAAATGGCGGGATTTCAATTGTTCCGGTAAGGTAGACGTCCCGGAAGAACACAGCTCAAAAACCATTCATGTTTTTTATTGAAGTTTTTTTAATAATAATAATATTGCCTTTATTTAACAATAAAAAAGAAAAACGAACAAGAAGAAAACGGCGAAGTTCAGATTGACAATAAAATAATGCAATCTGTTCTTCCACTTAATTTTGCTATTTTGGGGTCACGGTCACAAATTAATTTTGGAAAATGCATTGCTATTTTCTAAATATCTAAAATTTAAATGAATCCATATGTATGAGCTTTTCAATATATCTCATTCATCATATTCATTCAAGGTATCTACCGTAAAAAAATCGCATGGGAAGTTAGCCCCTCATTTATACAATTTTGCAATTATGCTTAATTAGAGTTCGGAAGAACCCCCGTAAAGTTCTTCATAAATCGCACAAAAAAAAGTTCCGACAATTAAATCATAAATTTTGAAAATATGGGAGGCCAACTTCAAGCAGAACTGTTTGGTTATGAAAAGATCATCGATAGTTCTCAAGTTCCTCTTGTCAAATGTGTTTCTTACTCAATCTACCGTCTGTACAGAACTGTCTTGATCCTTCCACAGCCTTCTGGTTGGTCTGATGAGGCATTATAAAGCTCTGGTAAGCACATAGAAGGCTTTGTAAAACCTTTGGTGGTCGCAACTTGTACAGGTGAACGTTCTAAAAAGTCTTGTAAGTGCTGTCCAGGGTCTCTAGAGCTGTCTTACCCCGTTCCAACCGTTGTAGCACTGTCTGGAACTGACTTTAAAACCTCTGGAAAAGACCTAGAACGCACTGAGTGTTTAGTGTTTAGAGAGCTCAAATATTGGCCTATAAAGCTCTGGAAATTGTCTAAACAGCTTTGAAACGGAGCGCATTCCAGAGTATTACAAGAAATCTTCTAACGCTTTTCCACATCATTTTAAATTATTGACCAGTTTCATCGGGGAAACGGCCAAATTGATGCACAGGAACTAAAATTTGTGCTCTTCCTGCCATACTTGCGTTTTGATTAAGTTGGTAGAACAAAATAGTCATTTATTCAATATTTACTTTCCTTGATGCACACGAATAACTAAGTTACGTATGTGCATTTATCTCGGTCAATTTTTGGGGAATTTTGTTGCGAATGCAAAGTGAACTTGATTTCCAGAACTGTTCGTGGCTGCCTAGAAAAGAAAGCTATGGAAAGCGCTTTGAACGCCCCGGAAGGACTTAAAACTCTGGTAGCAGTTTTCGCAATGCTACAGATTGCTCGCAAAGAGCACTAGAATGTACTTGAACGCGCCTAAAAGTGTTGGAAATTCTTCCAGAGTGTTGCAAGGACAAAGTCGCGCTTAATTAGTTTGTCCTTGATCGTCACTCCTTTATGCGATGGAAACGCGATTACTTCCTTTTAATTTCGCGATAGTCAACGTTTTTTTTAATTTTGACTAACGGAACTCGCGTTGTTAAATTTTACGTTCCAATAAAATCCAAAATATCCGTTATCACTACTGGTTCTTTTTATGCCTCTCTGAAAACGAGTTTACTTTTTTGCTTGAGACGTAACCCAAAACCCGAACCAATCTCACGTTGAGTGCTCGAAATAAAGCTACTACTATAAAGCACCTACTTCCCAAGACCGAATGCATTCCATTAATCTATCCGTAAGGATCCCTATTATCCTTTCTCATTATCTTTACCTATTGATTCGTTTTCTTCATTTCTGATGCACTATCAATAGAATAAAAGCTATGGTAATAAATCAAATCCTACCATATACCACGTTATATTTTTCACGATACTTATTCAGTGGTTTGGACTAGACTAGATAACGCTAATTAAGATGCCCACTTTAGCTCTAGTTACTGCGACATCGATCGTCTCCAGACATCCGTAACCCATTATGAAAACTATGCTCTACAGAAATGAAAAGACGCAGGAAGGACAATCTTCAATTACATCAAATTCTTATTCTTAAAATTCCGCTCGCATATGCTGGAAAGCACTAAAGCCCCACTTTTCGCAGGTCTTTTGTTGTCCTATAGCATTCGAACGCTTCAGAGTCACTTAATTGTTTCCAGAGCAAGATACTTACTTGTGAATACTTGTCCACACTGGATATTCAGAGAGATCCTTTTTTGGGGTGGAGAGCCTGTTTTGTGGGATGGTCCCAACTCCCAAGCCACGATTCGCCGCCTGTGGCAATCCTCGAAAAATAACTGTCATCGTTCGCCAAAGCAGTCCCGATGCTCCTGGCAAATTTATTTGTATGTCATCATTCTCACGGGTAGATAATTTAAAAAACGCCCCCGTATCTTAACCGAGCACCTGCAATTTTGCTTCCGATTTATAGTCAGTACTTTTTAATAACCAATGCAAGATACGTAAAGGGAAAGTAATGATTGGAAGGAACTGAAGGTACGAAAGGCCGATATTTCCGGAAAAACGCGTGAGGTTAGTTTACATAGATATTGTTTATATAGCTGTGTTTACGTAATAAAAACAGCAGTTTAGCATTAATTAATATTAACGCAATTGTAATAAACTTGTAAATCTCAAGATGCATGTCCACGACATTGCAATTTCTGACGCAGGAACGTAGGAATTTTAAGTTCGGTCATTCCAGTTATTTTAAAACAACTTTTCCTTGTTTACTGAATTAGACAAGTGAGATTAATTATAATAAATTTATTGTTCCGTTTTGTAAAGACCAATTATACTAGGGAATACCATGAGAAGAAATTTACATTCGATAGGTGAGCAGTAAGAGGAGATTATAAATAAATTAGTGGTCCCAAAAGTCTTCCCAAAAGTATGAGCAACTCTGACACATCAAAATGGCTATCGCCTTCACTTAGGTCTCCGATTTTAAAAATGTTTAAAAAAAACCAAATTTTTGGAATTTGTAGACGGAACTTTTGACAGCTTCCGATGGTGCGGAATAACATTTGGGTAATCCATAAACGGTTATCTAAAGTACGTGTAGCTAAAATAAATAAAAACCGTTATCTATTTCGACATGGAATGTTGTATTAACAAAGAAATATCAGTATAATGCAGATGAGCCGCCTAGTGTTAGCAAAAGTAAACAAAACTCATCCAATTTTTAGTGTTATTCTTGGCCCACAGATTGACAACTCTTATTTCTCATATCTTATCTAGCACTCCTCACAATATTGTTAGATGCCTTTATCGTTTCTTACTTTTTCTTTTTGTTGACGGTTTTTTAATGTATTTTTTATTTATATATATATATTTATAAATTGAACGTTTTAAATACAATTGGCGAAGGTGTTAACAGCTTCTTTCACAACAAACAGAATAAAAAATTTAAAAATATTAAATATATAAGAAACACGTCAAGTAACCATAATAAAGGTTTATTAAATAGATAAGGTTTTATTGTGACTTCAAGTCTTTCAATCAGTCAGCCATTATCTTTTGGGAAGTCCGATGTTTGTCGGGAAAATTGTAAAATATGGAGAATAGCAGTTCTACCCCCTCCTTCCAAAGTGCTGGGAAAATTGGACTTAAGGCTGGAAATTTAAATGGATGGAATTTTTTAATTTTTATCTGACCTATGATCCTATGATGAATTGTTCAGATGTTCACACACACAACCAATACGTCAATCAACTTAAGACCTTCTCCAGGGGCACCTCTAAAAAGCATTACGCGAGTCACTCTGTAATTGGGCTAAACCATGTTGAGGGCCGAGAACAATAAGAACAATAAGAACGAATTTACTAGCTCTTAAACCGTCTCCAAACTCACTACCCTTATTTTCTCGTTGTATCCAGTATTTAAAGAGACAGAACTTCCACCATAAAATAATCTTTATGAAATTTCAAATAAATCGCCAATCACGACGAATGCGTCAAACGGGACGTTCCGCATATTTCCAATTCTTCGTAACACCTGCGTCTCCTTTTATCAGCACCAGATGTGCATTTCCTTGAAATCAATTTTCTTTTGCCTGATAAACACTCCTGATCGCAACGACCAGATAAAACACGCAAATTAAACCAGATGTGTCCTACTTACTTAGCACCTTAGGTAAATTGAGTAATTACATATAAAGCGATAAACGAAAAATTATCCAACTAACCAAAAGGAAAAACAAACACTGAGATACAAATTCAAACGCAACTAACTCTAATATTTAATGTAGGTAAATTGAGGATTTATTATGAAAGTATCTATCGGCTTCACATGCGCACAGTCTTTACATTCTACTTTGTACTGTTTTTTTAAGTAACATTTCTTCGGATCTCAAAAATCCAGTAAAAACATCAAAAAATGAAACTAGGTCTAGGACTTTCTGAAAATTTCAAAGGTACTTTTTTTTGTCTTTTACAAGAGACGACTAAACAATCGAGGGACACTGTATGTTTTAGAACTATTTTCGATTTTTTTTTGATTGTATGATCTTCTCGTTTTACGGTTGGGGAGCTTTCTGGTTGCGCCGTTATTTCAGAGAAAGGTACCTCCTTCTCCCACCTTCAAAGGGAGCAATGAAAAAATGTCATCAATTGGTCCAGCCCACCTTGGTGGACCTTTTCTTGTTTCTCCCAGATGCGATTTTACATCCCTTCCATTAAATATCTCCACCATGACACCCAGTTTCCTTATACATACTCCGTCAAACTACATCTTTCCTTCCTCATATGGTTTGATGGTTTGATGACGGATGGGCCGGATGGTCTTCAGTAGTGGTGATGATGAAATTTGGCCGATACCGCTCCAACAGATCCAGGTTCTAATAGACCTCTTCCTCCCAAATTCTGTCGGAGAAAACCGTGTGGTCCCGCGTGACGGGTACGTTGGTTATGATGTCTTTTTCGTATATATGATGATGATGGCTATTTTTGTATAGTAATTCACTGTTTCGGTAGCCCTCCTCTCTCGTGTCGTCTAAATGTGTCACTTTTCCTTACTTTGTAAAATGCCTTTATATCGTGTAATTTGGTATATTTGCGGAAAAACGGGCAACAAAACCTAATTCATATTAAAATAATTTATCATTGTCACGGCCCATTTAGGATGCATTTACAATTGGCAACATTACAAAGATAAGAGGAAGTGACATTGAAAATACCTAGTACTAAAACAAGGTCACCATTTTCAATAAGAAAAATAAAACCTACCGGTAAATTACAAATTTGTAACTCAATTGTTCCTAGTGATAGCGTGGGGGGGAAATCAGTTGAAGAACTAATCGAATAAAATTAAAACAAACTAATACAGAATATTGTATGAAGCTTCATTCACATTTCACTTAAATGTCGTACTGAGACTTTGAACTGCTTTTTTCTTCGCGTTTTCCTATTTTAAGGCAGACTGGAAGTCTGAAAAGCCTTGATAGACCTCTGGACGAGAAGCAAGTGTCCTTGTTTCTTCCCATAGTATATTACCGTGGCTAAATGGGCTTAGATCCCCGAAAAAAGCCATTAAAAAAAATGCTGACTTGGGAAAAAATGGTAGTTTTTGATTCTCTACCTAGACTAACAGAATGAGGAAAAATTTTCAACTTCCTAGCTCAAACCAAAAATCGCGCTTTTGGAAAAGTTTTCAAAAAAAGACAAAACCTTTCCTATAGTTTATTATTCCGATGTAGAATAAGAATATTCAATAAAAACTGTAGGTTTCTATGTGAAAAATTAAGTTGCCCTACACTTGACCCTTAAGGGACGCTCCCAAAATTGTTTCCCAAAATCCAGCCCGTGATTTTTAGCATGTGTAATATACATATTGCATAACGGCTCGCCAGTCAACTTCTCCTATCGCCAGTAAAAACTCATTTACCTGGCTAATTATGTAAAATACTGTAAATGTAAAAGCCTTATCTTTATAACACTCCGATACAAATAAATAATGTACCTAGGTCGCGGCGATTATGAGATCACATTCACATTGACCGTGATTTTCTTCTGTTTGATGACTGAAGAGGTGAATTAGTTGTTTAAAAACCGTTTCTGCTTAAAAAATTTTTGGGATCAATGGTTGGAATTGGGTGGGGCTCTGGAGTTATACCACTACTTTTGAAAAATCAGTAAATCTTGCCCATTTAAGAAAGTGGACTTTATCATCAACCTCTACTCAATCTCGCATAGTTACTTGGTGGTTACCTACATAATAAAAAATGTTTCATTTTTCTAAGTACGGTTTTATCTTTTGCGAAGCTCTAAATGGCGTGCACTACACAAATTTAGTATATTTCATGATGTTCCGAATTGTTTCAATAGATTAATCATGTTTCTGGCGTTGGGATGGTCCATCAACAGTATGTTTCTCATCTTCATCTTTCGACCTACAGCTTCTTGAATGAGACAGTCCGGTGCCATCTTTAAGGTAAGTCCAATTTGCCATAACTAAATGTGCTACTGCAACCTTTCTTACATTACAGAACAAGATATGAATATGTCTCTTTTCAATTCCACGATACAGGTAAACCTCATTGTTTAAAAAACTCGCTGAACTTTGAAGAAAATAGTCGGAAGTACTTTTCATGTAGACTGTCTGTGCTTTCACGATGTCTCGTTACTAAGACTTGGAACTCCAGTCGGACGAATTTCACGAAGTTGTAGCAGTACTTAAAAAAACGAATACTTAATTTGATTCCCGCCAGAAAGAACCCTTTTCAACTCGCTTGTTCACATATGTCCTAGAGTCATAAATAAAATAGTTGACGGCATGGTTGGATGCTTTCTCATTGCCACTATTTGAGACGGCGAGATTTTAAATATAACGGAGAAATCATGATCAACTTTGTACGGCGATGTACAGCACACAAAAAACAGATGTTGGAAACTGTTGGTTTCAATTTCAACAGGATGCTGCATCTGCGCACAACGCCCTAATCGTGCAAGAATATTTTCCAGGAAATTTGTCCGATAGGTATTCCGGCACGCTTAGGGCGTTGTGCGCTGGTGCTCCATCCTGTTGAAACCAACAGTTAGTCAATACAGTATTTACTTTTTTACGGTCCATATAAAAAAAAAGTTGATGATGTGTCAGGATGGGCGGTGGTGTTATGTTACACGAGCAGATCGTATCCGCGCGTAAATCTTCAAAACGGAACATGGAAGTTGATGTAGATCTTTTCTGTGCAGGTCAACAGACACCGCGCATCATGCCAGCACACGGCATACAAAATTTGACAAGTTTTCTAAATAAAGAATCACGATATTCTTTTTTTTTGTATATCAACCATATGCATATCCAGTAAACTAACATGATTGATGAGAGTACCTACTGGGGCTTATATGGAGAGGGTTACCGATTTTTTTTGCTGCGCGTCCCCGAATTGTACTTTGTTGACATTTTTTCTGTGTATTACTGTATGACAAAAAAAATTAATTTTGGGTTCACCGCGATCCATGAGCTGTCCGTTTCTGCACTATACATCCATTAAAGGGGAGATTGCGGCGCACTTGTACCTACTGTACCTCCATTAACAGCCCCCCCCCCTTCCAGCCGTTAAAAAATCTATCTTATTCTAAAAATTAGTGCTAAATATGTGCTAATTTGTTACCGTATTCAAAATTTTGTTGTTCAAATAAAACGGCCGTTTAAAAACATTAGTGGATGGGGCCAGCTTCATATACACTGGAAGTGGGGTATGATTTAAAACGCTGGTTCGCGACGATGTTCACCACGGGAGTATGTTGCAAATGCGGAGTGCGGACATACCTTTATATTATACCATCTATTCTGATTTTAAAATAATGTTATTTTATGCATAAAATTATTGCGTTCGGCTAGCTCAGTATAACGAAAAAAAATATTTTCAAGGAGAATGGACTTTTTCTGTATACAATTAAACTCGTCGCGTTTCTGCTTCAGGCCACTTGATTGCAAATAACAAAAGTCTAAATCTCCAAATCTACGTATACAAAAAAATCCACAATCTTCAAAAATATATTTTGAATCCGGCTGGAGGATTTAGCATAATGATAGAGATTAATACGATTCTTACGAATGTAATGGGTAAAGCTCAAAATGTCGGTTCTGTTTTTAATTAATTACTCCTTTCCTCGATATCGGAAAAATATGGGATCGATATCAAACTTCAAGTTTTTTAAGCGCACCTCTTCTGAAATAAAGCCCATCCCAAACGGACGGGTTTTTCTGTAACTCAATAAAATTGTTTGCTACTAATTATACTCACTTGATTTGCCGGACGGAGGTTCCGAAAACGGAGTTCTAGTTGTCACTCATTGTCTCCTGGAATTTAAGTGCAATCGACGAGGTGAAGCACTTTTTCTATTCTGGTTTTTCGTATACCATTAGAAAACTGAAATCGATTAATCGGTAATTAACGGTCCTAAAACTTAATAAGATTGATTATCTCTCTTCTTCCCTAGCAAGAGAGCTTTCGGCGACGGTACAAATATTTCTACAAGAAAGGTTACAAAACTGATAAGTTCACTACTTAACTTGCGTGCGTTATCGGCGGAAAACAAACAATTAAACACTCGTCTCCTATAGAAAATAATTAAATTCAGAAACTACAATTTCTTATTAACGAAGCGCCCAACTTCAAACGTATCTAGATACCGGGTGTTCAGAAAAGCTATCGACTCCACAAATATACGGTGTGGTCGTTTAATTCAAAATATTGACTGCGCTATTTTGTTGATCCAAATGGTTGAAAAAGGCGGCCGGTGCAAAATCCTGGGTCTCGCAAGTGAATGGCTGCTTTGATTTGGAATGAAGATTAAGTACGGTGATTTTAAGTATTTCGACGGTTAGAGGTATTGTCGTTAAAAAAATACGTCATGTATTGTTTTCCATTCGCCTTTACGATGATTTATTTCCGTGCGTTAAAAAAATTACTCCACTGTTCGCACTTATCGCAATAGTTCCCAATCCGCGCAAATAAACTGTATTTTAAGGCTAGCCGTTGTTATCTTTATGGATTAAAATTTTCACTATTGTTCGTATTTAAGGTGATGATTTCTAAACCGGACAAATGTTCTTTGTAAGTGAAGGTTTTTTCCCGTTTGATTTAAATGTATTTTGATTGAGACTGCAGTGTATATCAGTTTTTTTAAAGATAGATACTTGCGGATTTCGCGACCCTGTGCAACTTTTTTGTGAAACTTTTAATACCACAAACAGAATCAAGCTAGCTACGTTTGTTTCTGAGGTACAGAGTGAAAAGAAAAGTTCGACTTTTTCAGATGTATCATATCTTGCTACCCATATAAGATAGAAAAAAGGTAAAAACTGTTTCTTTTAGATATTTTTACGTAGAATCCAGTGGCGTAGTCAACAGTTTTTTTCGGACCACCGTTTCTATAAAAAAAACAAAATCTCCATGCCTAATATCATTGTATATTATACAATGTTAATATTTAAAAGCCGTAAAAAATAAGTTTTTAGTTTTTGGTTCATAGCTAAAATTTAAAAAAACTGGTATGTGATACATTGACGTTAAGATATACAGTGTGTTATATTTAAAAAATACCAACTTTGGGTCAAATCTCAATGGTAGTCCAAAAATTTATTTTTACTAACCCACTGAATTCTACGTAAAGATATCTAGAATGGGCAGTTTTTATCTTTTTTTTATTTTACATGTCTAGTAAGATACGATAATATCCCAAAAAGTCAAACTTTTCGTTTTCACTCTGTACCTCAGAATTGCCTAGACAGCTGGACGTGAACGACCAAATTCCCTCTACTTTAGTTTCCTGATGCACACCCATTCTGACACCAATGAAACTGTCTTTCTAGCCAGTGAGATTTCTTAACACAGATAACTCAATTCCCACAAAGTAAGCAAAAAGCACGCTATCCACCAAGATAAACGACGGAAGCGAAGAATCGTCACGTAATTCTAGTTAATGTCTTCATCTCCCACGACTTCTCGGCGCCCTAAGCTTTCACACGCATTTAAAAAGTCAGGACCGTATTCAGGAACTTCTCGCCCACATAGCATCGAAAAAATTTAAGTAATATTCGAATCGAACAAAATTCGTTAACGGGCTCCACTGCTATCTTCAAAACGGTAAATCGCACTGTGCATTTTATTTAAGCAGAGTTTGATGTGTTGTCACTCAGGGTGTGGACACTATTTAAGGTTTAATGTCGGGTGTGGTGTGGGGATAAATTAAGCATAAGGAAACATGCATAGCGGTGGTAGGATGAGTGTAGTTATTATGGGTGGATATATTTTACGAGTTTATGTGTATAGTACAGAAATGGCTATGTTATGGATAGTCAAAGAAAGAGTCATAGTGAAATCATTGTCTTGAATACTTGTTTTGCGGAGGTGCACTTGTCCAACTTATTTTACTTGCACTCATTATTACCATGGAGCGCTAAAAATGCCCATACTGAGTGTTATTTCTGTTATTCACAATTATGGGAAATACGAGTGAATGGGAAGATTAAAAAAAAAATAAATAATTTATATGTCGTTAGCAAAATTCAAATAAACAAACTAATTAGTATAACAAACAAAATTTCAATTGGGTCCTCTGTTGATGAGCAAACCGTGAGATGCATGCGTCCTAACCTGAATGGAAGGTGCGAATCGAATAATACGAGAATACGAACTTTTTCGATATCTTATTTTAACAAACGCAGTAAGGCCTTCCTACAAAATGTGGTCAAACAAAACCGGAAACGGCCATCACAAAACCGCCATTGTACGTGCAATGCACACTAAAACTGGCCAAGTGAGGTCAGTTTTTCAATGGAAAATCCGGAAGTAGAATTCAATGTGTACCTACAATATCGTAAACTAAATCGAAAATTGTCCTTTCCAGGAGTCGGACAACTGCCAACCCAGGTTCGACGACGACTTCTGCGACGTACAAGGTGAGTGAACGTGTTTTTTCTCTCGTTGCCCAGATGTATTTATATATGCGTCGTACGTTCAATTTTTTTAAAGGTGGCATTGAATATTAGATAATGGTAATTGAGATACGTTTATTTTTTTGTAAATATGTTTTTCCCATTTCTACGTCTTTTTATTAACTAAATATAAAACGACGTCGTGCCAAATCCGATTATAATTCAATCTTCAAGTTGATTTAACTTCCACTGTACATACGACGAGATCAGGTGATGTACATTTCATTTCTAATTTGGGATGCCGTACACAAAGGAGATATTTCAGGTTATATTGACCTTAATTTTCGTGACAAGTTGTTTAAACTGTTTTTCATGATGCTCAAGGGATTCTCGGTATATTTTTTGCGAGCAACGGCCGAGTTCCCGTACGTCATTCCATCCTCAATTAGAATTACCGAATAAATAACCATTGGATCTAATCCATCCAGCTCGGTGCGGGCGTACCAAAAACCTTGGTGCCAACAGTAAATCTGCACTGAAAAAGTTCGAGACTCAAAAGCTTCTTGAAAGTTGCAGTTTTTCTTTTGGCGCTTTGAATGTAGGTTTCTCATCACCACAAAATAATACGAGCGCTTAAAATAGCGTTAGAAAAAACTTGACTCTTTATGGACAAAAAAAAATTGCAATGCTCCTACGCCCTACGCTGTTCAGACTAAATATTGTACAATGACGTCAAAGCCAAAATAAATTGCAAGACCTTGCAGTAGGTCACTGCACTGCTGAGATTGCGATGAATTAAGCCCCAAATTCTTAATACAAACATCCGGAAGTAAAATGGTGCATTTGCGGGCCTTGATTAATAGTGAAAATTTTGCTCGTAGGATAAGTAAGATATTACGTTCAATTCAAATGCTTTGGGTTATTTTATATGGAGACTATTGTGCAGGCGGTTTTGAATTACTAATTGCATTTGATATCGTAACATGGTACGGCAGCCTTAAGTTGAAATGAAATGAATTCTGAAAGTACGCTGAAGGCGGATGTTTGTCGCTATTTTGACTCAACGGAACTTTGGAGAACAAGCTGACAGACTAGAACATAATATACAGATCCAATGGTGTCGGTCGAGTCATGTGATATAAATAAACATGAGTTGATTCTTGTTTACTGTTTCAATAAATAAAAATAAATTAAAATAGAAGATGGGGATGTTGATAATAAAATCTAATAAAATCAAAATGAGATGTGGGACAAATTAAATGATATTGAAGACAAAATCTGAGGATTACTGCTGACCTTAGCTGGACACAGCGAACTGTAACATATGTTCATGCAGATCTTGTAATAGCATTTCGTCTTAATTTTTAATGTTTTGTTTGATTTCTTTAGCACATCGATATCTTAACATAAGAGTACCTACCCGCTTTTTGGTAAATACTTGATGATGTACACCACCATAATTAAATAAATGATCATCAGCCACTACCATCTTCTCAAGGGAGAAACTTTCATATAAAACTTGTTTTTATAATAATGTAGATATTTTTTTTTGTTTGTAAATCGGCACTTTTATTTTTTTTTGTAAATAACTTCAAGGGTTCCCGATTGTTTAAATTTCAGGCAACACACAAGACTATCCATTTAACTTAATCTCTATCTTCGATAACAATCCCGTTACCCATACAATCTACTGTATCTGAGACACCATGAAAATATGTAAAACAAATTGTATATTGTATTGATAGAATGTTAAGAACCTTGTAGAAAATTCAGAACCAGAATTTTCTTATAAATCTTAGTGGACTCTTTTCAGTATTTCTATAGAACCATTAGAACCCTTTAGAATCGTTATAGCATTCTTGAATCTTTTAGCTACCTAGGAACCTTCTCCGAGTGTTAGAATTTTCTAAGCGCTTTAGAATTTAAAATATTCTCACAAGTTTGTAAGATTACAGCAAGACTGACCAATCGTCCTGGTAAGCTTTTCGGAACCTCCAAAACTTTCACTTTCAGACTTTATGTAGGGGACAAGCCGACATGCGACAACCAAGTGGTCTCAGATTTTGCATACGCATGCCGCTAGTGCTGCCAGTATTTTTTAATTGGAGGGGGGGGGGGCGAACACACGCTCTGTCCTTCATAGTCTCATCGAAAAAATGGGTTTCTATAAACTATAAACTTTTCCGCGTAACTCCTCTTCGAGATCAGTGTGTGATGGGAAGGGGTGGGGAGTAGAAATTGATTTTATCATTTATCAACTGTTTTTAGCGCACTTTTTTAAGAATTAAAAAAAATGTGCTATTGTATGCGTTTTGTCCGTCTGTCCGTCCGGACCCACTTATGCCGTTTTGAACTACTTGTAGGGGAATGGTCCTAGAGTCCTGGAATTTGTTGCAGTAGGTAGCCTATAACTTTCCCGTGTGACTCTTTTTCGAGATCAGTGAGCGACGGAGCCTGGGGGGGTTGGGGTTAAAAATTAATTTTATCTCTCATTGTATTCTAATTAAAGGTCTCAACGAAAGGAACCGTTTTCTACCAACTACTGCCCTTCTTTCTATCCTATTATCAAAGTACGGAGTGGAGGGGGAGTGGAACTAGTTTTATCCTTCATGGTACTCTAATGAAAGGTCTCATTGTCTCAACGAAAGGAATTAATTTCTACAAACCATAGCCCTCCTCCTCGACCTCGGGTTTATACCTTATACCTCAAGAACGGATTGTCGGAAGAGGGTACTCACAAAGGGCGATTGAGACGTCTACAAGAAATGTATCCATTGGTGATGTCAAAACAAAAGCTATTTCGGTTTAAAAAATGCGCTTTATCTGCACAAGAGTTGTGCACAATTTATACATGTTTCTTTGTATTTTCAATCTTCTGAATTCAACTGCACACACCCCAACTAACTTGTAGAAATCAATCTTGAAACTAAACAATTTTAATTGCATGTGTGCTTTATATCTTTTGAGTGATGGTTTAGTTGCATATGTTAGCGCAAACAACCACTCGTAAATCAAACTTTTGCACAACTGAAAAGTGCAAGTCGGCGACCAGCCTTAGGCGACTCGTCCATATAAGCAACCGGTTGTATGCGACTAGTTGTGTGAAACAGGTTTCATGAAATGCGTCATTTTACGTCCATTTGTGCAATCTATTTGTTTAGTTTGAACAATGTCGTCCGATGAAGATTTTGTGGTGAATGGTGATGGCTGCCATTTAGGTATTTAACGAGAAGAAAAGGCCGAAAGTGTTTTGGATTCATCCTGACTAAAAAAAAGTTAATGAGAGGAGGTTCTGTATAGGTAATTTTATAATTACATAAACAAGGATATTTCTTTTATATTGTTTGTTCACCGGTCGAAGGGTCGACCGATACCATATTAATGTCGGCATATCGGCCATATCTTGATACCGATGTATCGGCCGCCAATGGCCGATATTTTGCCCGATACATTCATATAACTACGGGGTGGCGATAAGGGGGGGATGATCGGGAAAACCTGGAATTGTCGGGGAATTTTATGAGAAATACACATTTTCGGCTTCTCTGCACGGATTTCCTTAAGAAAAACATGATCCAGAGTAAGAAGTAGCTTCATTCTTCGTCAAAACCATTACATGCGCCCATTTGCGCCGCAAAAAATTGTGGGGCCAAATTATGTATACTATGCATAATTTTGGCCCTCACTAGCCTCATACAGTACCAGAAAGCGCAACTCTCAATGTTGCAGCAAGTGGGCACATGTGATTATTTTGGCGAATAATAGAGCCGCTTTTTACTAGAAATCATTTTTATCTTAAGGAAAAGTGTGACTGTGAAGTCAAAATCGCTTGTATACCAATGCCGAGCGAGCCTAAGGTGAGTTCGGCATAATTTTGGCCCACATCAACGCCAAAAAGCGCAAACTTTTAATTTTCCTCACAGCAAATTGGTGTATGTGATGTGATTCTTTGAATGGCCATCTTTTTAGTAGGAATCATTTTTAGCGCATTTTTCAACTGATGTTGGAAGGCGCTATTATGACCACTTTTTCCGTCCGAGGCCTTAACCACTCCTACAGTTTTCAAGATATTTAGTTCGTCCTTTTCGCATTTGTTGTAACTTATAGCTCTGGCATCTCAACCAAGAAAACTCTTTATGATTAATGTGCGCATGAGCAGACTGCGTAATGTCAACTTTCTTATGTATGGAAATATTTTTTGAAATTTTGACCCACAGATGCACCTAGTCTGAAAAATCAGATGTGCGCATGCACAAACTGTGCAATGCGAACTTCCTTATTTATAGAGATATTTTTTTGAAATTTGTATCAGATTCTTCTAGTAAAGGCCAACGTATCGCATATTTTAAACCGCAGGTTTTCGAATGCGCACACTGCGCATTGCAAAGTTTCTTCTTTAAGAGAATATTTAAGCCTTAATTTATTCTCATTTGTACATATAAATAGACCGACGACCTTTTGGAAAGTACTGATCAATTCATAGAAAATGCGGTGAAGTTACTCCAAGGCGAAAACCATTTTTTTCCTGCTTATCTTAACATTGAATAGCAAACCTCGAGCAAAACTACTAAAAAATTCACCTTAACCACTCCGGTATATTTATCGCACGCAATTGGTCAATGCTCGGCCGATTTCGTATAGGTTGCGTCAAAAATAGATTGCCATCGCGCATGTGGAAGTTCGCAACTGGTTTCATGGTTGGACGCAACTGGTTTCATTGGTTGCTTAATAAAGGGCCCCATACACGCAACGATCCGTCGTCACGATAGATCTGAAGCGATATCGTGACGATAGATCGCCCAGAGCTTACTTACCACTCGCACACGAAACGATTGGTCGTTACGATCGATCACTTACATGTTTTTAAAACCGAACCATCGTGATTAAATAATTTAATGTCATACGTGCCCTGTCGAATCGTTGATCGCAATGAGCCATACACTGTCGATTCATCGTTACGATATTCACGATTGCATGCGTTTTTGTTGCGGTGTTCGATATCCCATTCGATGAAGTAAATCGTT